AAACAGAAATTGATGTAGTGCAGAAATCGACTTTGACTTACATTGATGGATTAGCGAGTTTTTCTGGCTGGCATGTCGTTTCAGTAAGGTCAGCGAGTCTAGCAGCTTAACATTAATTTGCAGGAACTGAGAGAGAAGACCTTGTGCCTTGAGGGAATTGTAAAGTATTGGGAAGTCAAAGCTGTAACCATTGTGTGCGATCAACACGGGACATTTGCCATCTTTTTCTTTTTCCTTGATAAAATGCATGAGATTCAGGAGGCATTCTTGTGTTTGTGTGCACTGTACAATGTTGTTGTCTTTCATCAGCACTTTTTCGCCATTCCGGTATCCAGTAGTAAGCCCTGTTACCTTCGATGCTGATGGTTTGATTTCAGCGGTAGGAAGCATATACATAGAAAGGAGATCATCTGTGTTGTCAATGGACATACAGCACAGCTGCAGGATTTCGCTTGTTCTTTCTAATCCTGTTGTTTCCAAATCTAGCACTAGGTAGGCAAACTCTGTTGAGGGACTGCTCGCCATATTTAAATCTTTTATGGAACACTCAGTAACAACCATGTCTTCATGGACACCAATGTCTACAATTTCATTGTATTCTCGGGCAGAAACACAATCTTTCAAGTCATTGATGACTTTAATCGATATTATTTGTGTAGTGGAGACTTGATATCCAACAGCACTCTCATAAGTTGTCCCTAGATTGAAATTTGGTTACAATAGCAATAAGTTTATAGATTGCAAAGGTTTAGTGGCATTAAATATATATTACTGTACCTTCACTGTGTTCTTTCGCACGAGTTTTGCGCAACTTTGCTTTTTTTCTTTGGGATCTATATTAATCAATTATTAATGTAATTAATATAATCACTAAACGTCTGGAAAACGACTAAAGTTAGCATGTATTACCTCTTACGTTTTTCTTTCCTCGTTGATTTTCTCTCCTTGCTTGCTTTTCTCTCACGCTCAGTGACACTCGTGTAGTCTCTTACTGCAGTTTTTCCATTCAAGCCACATTCACAACTCACATCATTCAAATATTCCATTCCGTTGTTGAACTGACAAACGGAAGCAGCAACTCTGAAGTCCTGACTCTCAGAGCTTCCATAGTGTCGTATTTTGGGAGCTTTGCTTCCAACAACACTGTTGAAAGCTTCATTGGCTTGAGAACTGCCAAGGTGTGATAGTTTGGATGCTACTTCTAGGGTCGTGAAAGTTGATAAGCAATCAATAATTGCTGCCTTCAGGTTTTCATCTCGGAGATCTTTCCCACCTGGAAGGTCTTTGTGCTGGTAGGTTTCTGGGTTTTTTAGGTAACCACACCATTTTTCTTTGCATTTCTGATGATCTCCATAAGCATGCGGGACGATCTGATGCAAATCCTCCTGTAGGCCCTTTGGGTTGTTTTCATTGTTATGGATGCAGTACATGAAACACCGACACAGATACTGTATGATTGTTGGTGTTAGCCCTTTGACGGATGGCCTAGCCAGATAAATTGTTGAAACAGTTATACAAATAGTCATTATACTATAATCATTTATCCATTCAGACATTTATTCTGAGCCTTGCTATATATATCTGTATGAGCTATTATTATACGACATCAATAGTCTACGCACTCTGATTTGCTAACGGGCGGTCTATATTTTCACATCTAGACTGCGAACACACAAAATTTTGTTGTTTGGGTTTTGACGACATTTACCTTGGTTATTTTCATAAATTTAGGCATATTCCTATCTAGACCACGCGATCGATTAATACCTAATACCTATATCTAATGCAACTATAGAAAACAATGTCTCGATAGCAACCCTGTAAGTAACAATCGTAACTATGCAAACAGGGTTGGTATATTAGAGTACTTGTTTTGGTAACTATATTAAGGCCTAGCAATAAGAAATTGATGATATGTGCGCAAGTTTCTCACCTTATTTTGTACAATTTTGYACCAAAATTTCGTCTAGCATGCTGGATATCGCTCCATTTTTCGACTTTGTAAGGAACCCGACAGTTAATATGGCTTTCTGTTGTGGAGTCTTCGTCCCCAGTGAAGTGAGCAAGTTTCGCGTCATGGCTTGGTATGCTGCTAAACAGATCAACCGCAATTTCTGGCTCCATGGATTTGGCTGATCCTTCGYGATTTTTGCGACAGTCATGTGGCGTTGGTGGTCGGTCCAAACGTTCAGCCACTTGACAGGTCCGGCAAATTGTAGATCGTGAACCATACGCTATTACTTTTTTAGTATTTTCGCCGATTACAGTAGCAAATCCAGTATGAGAGTCTCGAGACTTCGCCCTCTTGGACCATGCGCCATCAAAAGATCCGGATATTGGCAGTAAATCATCATCAGACACATTTGCACCTTGTTCAATAGAWGATTTCTTTTCTTCCTCGAGAKAATCGAGACAGCTCTTTTTAGCAGCATTTTCAAGAACAGTCCCTACTYCCCTCTCTCTTTTCTTGATTGTTTTTGTATCGGGCGGAGAAACTCCCAGAATAGACAACGTAGCTTTGGCATGTGTGGGTCCTATACCATTGTGCAGCATGGCTAAACTTAGTCTAGTATTGGCATCAATAATTGGAGGACCACGTGAACCAACCCTGTGTRTAGTATTGGGCCGTATTATATTCTCAGTGCTACAATTTGTGCAATTGATCTTGAGAGTTATTCCCAGACCTTGTTTTCTTGGCTCCTCTATGATGTTGTCTAACGAGAGGGGTCCCTTTTCACAAGTGGAGCAGCATCGGAGACCATCACAAAGCATTTTTAAATTTATGACATGATCATTCTCTTCACTCTCCTTGAGTGAACTAGTATGACTACGGAGGACTGGGGGCTCATATTTTGGATGTTGTGTGGAAGTAAACTCTGCTCCACTCTTTTGCTGAAGATTGTTCCTTCGAATGTTTTCTTTGAGGATTCTTTGGCGTCGCTTTCGAATCACAGCTTTACGTCCACGACCTACACCGCAATTTACACCGAGTTTGACACTTTTATGAGCCTCATTACTAATAGGTGTGCATTCTGCTTTTTCTTTTTTTCAAAATTCGCTAGCTTGCTTTGTAGAGATTTTTTTTTCCCAGCCATTTGAGAAAAGGTTAGAAAAGATGGTAGTCGACATTTGCATCGAGAGGTGATATGGTGGTGTAAAGTATCCACATTAGCATATTGCATTTTATCATGTAGTATACAATCTTGAAAATATTTTCACTACAAACTATAGATATTGAACTGAAACTTGTGCAGAAACCCGCGCGCTTTCATTTGGAACAGACTGCGTGACAAGTATCGTGATATATGACAAATCCCTTAATCTCACTATTCTTCTATAAAACAATGAAGAATGTCAACAAAGGCTTTCGGCATAATGTACAATCATCTGGAGAAATAGCAAGCACAAAATTAACATTTTTGATAATTTTACTACGTCCGTCCAAACATTTCAATTGMAAARAGACCAAACGAAAAACATATAGAGGGGATTCGGCTTCATGCTCAAGAAATTTAAAAAGATTCGTTGGACAGGTTTTTGAGATACGACGTTCGACATTCGTATCCGTCAGATGGGCAGACTAGCACTAAAACTACACTTTAAGTATTCTGGCTCTACCTCAGCAACGAATTGACGAACAGCGCCCAAACTAAACATGAATGTAGAAATAGGAACAAAGTTCACTAGCACAGAAATCGAATGATCTACATGCAATAGAAATCGAAATAACAATTTTTAACTTTGAGCTCGAGTTTTTTCTTTGAAAAAGCCTGCTCCGTGTATACGAGATCATATTTTAAGTTGCGCTCGATATAATTCGTCTAAAATTTTCACACACATTTGTAATACCACTAATAACAAGGTTCAGAAATATTTTAGAAAAAATAGGGCTGGTTTGCGAAATATTCAAGTTTAAGTGTTTTACAGGATTTCCCCATAACTTTGAATAAATTACACTCGATTTTCATGAAATCTATATATAACATATTTTGGTCTTTTATCCTTCATTTGACAAAATATTGACCGGATCAAAGCAAAATAAATTGCATTTCGATGCGTTTCTTTCGTAATGGTCGGTACTAAAAACAACTGTCCCCAGATACCTTAAATGATATCTTTTTGCATGATTTGTCTGTAAAAAATAAAGGATCTCTGTCTCAAAATATCATTTGAAATATTTACTTACGTCTGTCTAATCTCTCTTATTCTATCAACAAGCTCTTTTTCCTCATGCTGAGTAGAGTTCAAATCTTCTTTGAGTTTACGAAGATTAGACTGAAATACATAACAAAATGACACTCATGAAAGATGCACATTGTCAGGAATACTCAGGGAAATTATTGTCCTTAAACTTTTGTTTTACCTGCTTTCCTCTGCAAGCAGTTTTCTTGGTTTTCAAGTCGGCAACAATACCAGACTGCTCCTCTTGTACCTTTGTCATTTCTTCAGTAACCAAGTTGACTGATTCTTGTATGGATTGCCACTCTACTTCTAGTTCTTGGATATTGTTGACGGCTTCATCTATCTTCTCTTGATACCTTGGTTTTCTTGAGACAGTATCTTGTACAACTTGTTGAAGAGGTCTAAGTTTCTTTGAAATAAATACAATGAAATTAATTTGATTATGCCCAAGACTGTTCAAAATGGACATGCGACATTGCTAGATCTTATCCAGCCTCCTTTGTATAACTCATTGTTTGAAACTTGTCAAAGTTTATTAAAACAGTAGTTGAACAGTAATTTTGTATAGTGATTCTCAGGAGATCAGTTTTATAACATGGTACCTTTTCGAGTTCAACAACCTCAGCCCAAACTCTTTCCTTCTTGAGCTCTTCTACTTGTTCTTTCATAGTTTTCAGTTGAGCCAAGTCCTTGTATTTCTCCTCTAGCTTTTGGACAAGTTTCTTCATCTCAGGCAATGTCTGTAGTGGAATGAAAATGGTGTTTATTTACATTTATTTGCAATTCCATGCTATTTTCAAGGATTTCACAAAGTATCAAGAGTCCAGATCAGAGGATTTACAACATACCTCTTGCTTCCTGTTTAGTGTGTTCTTGATTACATCTTGTTCCTCTATTACTACTTGGTAATCCATGCTCATCTGATCAAGTTGAGTGGCTTTCAGAAAGAACTGAAAAATATGCCATAACATTGAAATCTGTTTTTACTGTAAAATGGTTTAAAAATTTGTGATTTCTAAAGTTAATTGTATGAGGAAGAGGCTGATCCCATTAAAGAGTGCTAAATACACATAAAGTGTAGAGCTAGTTATATATATGATATCAAAGAGGCAAGATTTTGCTGTAACTCCGAGTTTCGTGCTATGCACTCATCAGACAGTATTTAATGATTTCTAAAGTTATAAAGATGAACAATAATGTATCACTCTGATTCCATGACTGATTCCTTGTGTATATTTTTGTTTTTGTTTCTTTAACAAGGAAATATATTTACCTTGTATTTGTCTTTAGGGTCTGAGGAATTCAGGAAATTTCTACTGGTATCTTGATTGAGAACAGAGACTGGATTATCAACCTACACAAAGAATGTGATCAGAATCAATGAACACAAAAACAAGCCACAGATTTTTATATAAATGCAGTTAACCTGAATCCCAAACTGGTCCATTATGTGAATCAATTCTTCCTTCTTGGTAGAAATTGTTTTTCCTGGAAATTCACATATAGATGAATAAATAAAATAAACAATACATGAATGAATAACCAAATCATTACATTGTAACATGAGAAAATTCCTGTACATAATGACCATCAAAACATTTGATGGATTTCTGTCAATCAAAACAAAACAGCCAATCATAACCAGAGTATATACAAGCTCTGTTACAGTCATACAGCAAATTGGAGTGCTTTCATTTTGAACATACAAAACAAATGAAGTACACCACTCACCATCATGTGACTTGATCTTATAACCTGAACCACCATCACTAGATATACGCCTTTCTACAATGATAGATTTACCATAGACTTCTGGGCAGTAGGCATCTTGACCTCTATTTCTCAGCTTGATTATAATCTGTGCAAAACTATCATAGTAAAGTATTGATTAATATTATGATATAAAAATAATAGTCAAGCTTCATCTACACCACACATTTATTCACATGTATTAATTCTATTAAAATAGCAATTAATACCTGCATTTATCTTTAATAAAGTTTTTCAAAGAACTGCCTCGGCTTGTGGCATTGGCTTTGCCACCCAAACCAACAACAATGGCTGTCATAATCGCACTCTTACCACCTAGTCAAAAACAAATAAAACATGAATACATAAGCAGGGAAAAAGTCATTGCTTCTGAATATAAGAAAACCATTATATTTCATTCAAACTTGTCATACATCAAAGCTGTTATTGGTTAATCTATCACACTTACTCCCATTGCGCCCAATAATAAAGTTGACATTTGATCCCAAAGGAACTTCTAACATAGTATGACACATAAAATTCACCAATGTGATTCTTTCAATGATCCCCACTTCTGCTTCAAGCTAATAAAAGAGAAAAATAAAGAGATGTCATCAAGGATATGATATTTCAAGGATATGATGGGATCCCTGTGTTCTGTATGACTTACATTCGTGTTTGACTTTAATTCAGGCTGACTGCAGTCCAAGTCATCAGCTGAATCGCTATCGTTTTCATTGTCATGGTCTGGATCTGGTGAATCAGATCTTCGACTTCGTTTTGCTGCAGTACTCGTTGCCACTACAAGGCTTGTCTCAGGTTCGTCTTCTTCGGTTTCCGAGGCCGTTTGCCGTCTTCTTTTGCTTGTATTTCGACTCATACTTGACAAAAATACAACCCAATACACTCTTTGAAGTTTTAAGTGACAGAGCAGGAAGTATAGGAGAAGAAAAGAGCAATGAACAAGCCAGAAAACACTGAACGTTTCTACTCAGGCTCCTTCTCCGGACCCCGGTCGTTTCTTGTTGTTGAAGCTCGCGCGGGAAAATGTCTTGTATGTCACGTGGTCGGTCTCATATCACTAGGTTCACCGGAAGTAGAAGTTAGCTTCCGGTTAATGTTAATGAAGACATTGAAGACAGATGTTTATTAGAAATGAAATGAAATGTACTTACTGCAAGGTAAACAGAGTAAATGAACCAGGTAAGTTAAGAAACAAGATTACATGTATTCCAAAAAAAGCTACGATTTCACACAAGCGAAGCAAGATTTTCTAGTCACGTGATAAGCTCCTGCAAGGTATCCTGGGTACCGGAAGTCAATTAATACGAGAAAATATTGTCAAGTAAAATGTTGTACCATTCTGTAATGACATCAAGAACGTAACAATGGCTGAAAACGAGAACTGGGCGTCATTTCCTCCTCCAAATGCTAATGTGAGATTTAATTTAAACTCCAATGATGGTATATGTCTACATCGCATAAGTTTTGGATGATTTTTCGGCACATTTTGTAAACAACTTCTTGACATTCGTGGCAAACCGATTGTATAATTTGATGTGATTGCATTTTATTCCTTATCTTTTGTATTTTTTAACACTATAGGATAACGATGATGATGACTGGGCAGACTTTGGTGGCTTTGAGGTGAGTAGTAAAAGTTGTTTTTGTAAATTCAAAAAAGTGAATAAATTATCATAAATTATTCTTGTCTGTGTGGCATATGAGCAACAACTTGTAATAAATTATATTTAATAGACTAGTAATGGCAAAAATGAACATGTTAAAACATTAGTAATATATATTGGTTATAAATGATAGACGGCAACACCTGTGGCAGACCCTCAACCAGGCAACAATGCAACTGGTCTGATTTCATGGGCAGCTCTTTCAACGGTACCTCAAGCAACAACTGAAACAGGATTGCCATCTCAACCTGCAACTACCTTTGTAGAACAGAGTCCATGGTCTGCCACATTTCAGTCAGAAGGTCCTGGAGACATCTTACCAAATACAACAGAAGTTGTTGATCTATCTTTATCTCCCTCAAACTTTGAGAGTATCTCTACTGCAAATTCAAATGGGCAAGTATGTACCCCACCAAACATTTCCTTGCTTGCTGTGGTTTCATTTAAGCACAATAAGAGTTTTGTTGTTGTTGACTTTCACTAGAAATCTTGTTAAACTTATTGCTTTTCAGGAGCAGTTGACTGAATTAACAAAAGAATTGAACCATCAAAGAGAAGAGAGAGACAGAGCTTCACAACTTGCAGATGACTTAAAAACCAAACTATCACTAGCTGAACAAGAAAAGATGAAATTCAAAAAGGTACAACAACAACAACAATTTTATTATTAATTTCACCTCGCAATTAGTTAAGACTATTCGGGGCAAGGGTACACTATATAACACAATATAATTATTCATTAGTATTTCCTGATTTACAGGGCATCTATCCCATGGAAGCATGACGTTTAAAACTCATGTGATTGTACATTTTTTAGGATCTTGAAGAACTAACGAATAAAAACCATCTTCTTGAGATGGAATCAACAGAGACAAAAGAGATGTTGAAAATACAAAAGCAAACGTATGCTGATCTCCAGGTAAACCAAAGGCTCCAAATGCCAAGATTGGAGAAAACACCATAATTATTTACATTGAATATTTTTGCATTTATTTAATATTTCATATGTTTTCAGGAAGAACACACAAAGCAGATAAAAGAGATTCGACAAGCAGGGCATGATGCGTTAGGCATTATTGTTGAAGAATACAAGGTTAATATTTCACAATATTTAATATTATAAACATTGGCCACTTCAATATAATGTGAATTATAGTCTGAATTTTATTTGCTAATCTATTTGCTGTGGTCTGTGATAATAGCATCTTTTCCATGTAGGAACTGTGTAAACAAGCAGTACTCGAACAACAAGAAAAGAGTCAGGCAGAACTTCATTTGTTTTTGGAAAATGAAAGGCAAAAGTTTAAAGAAACTGTTTTGCAACAGGTATATTTTTAACCTACATGTAGGATAGGTAGGATACAAAGACTAAAGGGAAATAACGATGATAACTTTGATTGCAGCAAGAAAGCTTTGAGAAGTCACTGTCAGAGGAAAGGGCCAACAATGAGGAGAGGATTAAAGATGTGTTACAAGCAGAGCAGGAAAAACACAAGGTATACAATTGATTCTGTTTTCAATAAATGGAGTAGACTGCAAGGACAGCTACCTTTCATCTGATGTCAGTGCTTGATGAAAGAAAGGTGTGTTTGCAGGCTATAGATGGAGTACGTCTTTGTGTTGTTTACAACTCAACAATAGAATACCCAATAATGAAGTACAGCTAAAATACATCATTTTAGTTATTATTAGAATCCTCTGTAAGCAAAGCACAAGAAGAGATGAAGTCAGAGATTATGTCAATAGCAGAGGTAATAATTGCGAGTACATTCCTTTATTTATAAACTACTGATAATTCAATTGGAAATGGGCTCAACAAGATGAAAAATACATGTCTCAACCCAGCTATTGCACAACTTGACAATGGATTTTTGACAGAAAACGACAGAAGAAGGAAAGATTGCTGTGAAAGAAGCAGTTGCAAAAGAAAGGGAATTACACCAGAAAGCAATGGAAGACATGAAAACTCTTTTACAAGAAGAGAGAGAAAAATTTAAGATTTCACTAGAAGAAGCACTCTTCAAAGAAAAAGAAAAGAGCAAGGTACCACTATTGTAGAGCTGTTGCTGGCTGCTGCAACAGTAGAATTTTTTCGCAGGGCCGTAGCTAGGGGGGAGCACAGGGTGCACATGCACCCCCCCATCAGTGCAAAAAAGTCCGCTTTTATCAACATTTCATTTTTCAATCACGAAAAAGAGTCGCAATGTTACTTATAGGTCCGTTTTTTATTTGATGTGCCCCCTCCGATAAATCTTCTGGCTATGGCCCTGGTGTGGTACAGTATCATAGTCTACCTAGTGGGATAGTGTACCTAGTGCGGTACAGTATCATAGTCTACCTAGTGCGATAGTGTACCGAGTGAGGTACAGTATCATAGTCTACCTAGAGTGATAGTGTGCCGTGTTCGGTACAGCATCATAGTATACCTAGTGCGATAGTGTACTGTGTGCGGTACAGTATCATAGTCTACCTAGTGGGATAGTGTACCGTGTGCGGTGCAGTATCATAGTCTACCTGGTGCGATAGTGTACCGTGTGTGGTACAGTATCATAGTCTACCTAGTGTGATAGTATACCGTGTTCGGTACAGTATCATAGCCTACCTAGTGCGGTAGTGTACCGAGTGCGGTACAGTATCATAGTCTACCTAGTGCGATAGTGTACCGTGTGCGGTACAGTATCATAGTCTACCTAGTGCGATAGTGTACCGTGTGCGGTACAGTATCATAGTCTACCTAGTGCGATAGTGTACCGTGTGCGGTACAGTATCATAGTCTACCTAGTGCGATAGTGTACCGTGTGCGGTACAGTATCATAGTCTACCTAGTGCGATAGTGTACCGTGTGCGGTACAGTATCATAGTCTACCTAGTGCGATAGTGTACCGTGTGCGGTACAGTATCATAGTCTACCTAGTGCGATAGTGTACCGTGTGCGGAACATTATCATAGTCTACCTAGTGCGATACTGTACCGTGTGCGGTACAGTAGCATAGTCTTCCTTGTTCGAGAGTATCAAAAGTTGAAGATGTGTTTATACTATACCTCCATGTAAGCGGTATTCATCCCAAATCTCGCTGGTACTTGGTAGTACTGACGATGTTCAAAGTGTTTTCTAAAACATGGCTGCTCTGCTTGCTCTATAGAAAGCGCTATCTAACAACAATTAGCCACTGTTAGTA